AAATTTTATTAGTACCACATAAATTGAGAAAGAAGAAATAACCTTTATTATTTGAAAATTGCGTAAAAGATATTACAAATCATACAACAATAATTAGCAATTTAGAATGTTAAAAGCCATAAAAAAAAAATTACCATAGTTAACAATAATTAAAAATTTAAACTATTTTAAATTAATATTAAAGTTTGATTAACTCTTTAATTTTGTCTTTGTCACATAAATTGAAACAAAAAATGATACATATTGGGCCCGTGCTAGCACGGGCTCCGATGTCTAGTATTATTATAAGTGGGAAGCTCCAATATGCAAAGTTGAATTACCATACTATCCCTATGCTAATTAAAAAAAGTTATAAAACATTTAACTAATAAAACATCAAATAGTAATCATATCATATTATTATGCTATTATAATATATATATATATATATATACACACCAAATAAATACGTTTATTAAGTTGGATATATATATATATATACACACCAAATATATATAAAACTTATAAGATTTTTGGATAAAATTAAGTTGTGATGTTGTGATAGGCTGCGTTTGTAAATTATGTTGTAAAATCCTACTCAGTACTCCCTCTTCCTGCTCTGTTATCTAGTTTAGTAGTTTTTTGTTACTAAATCTATGTAATTTCTCCCAAAATTACTTTTTTTTTTAATGTTCATCTTACTTTACCTTACTCTGTTCATCTCTTTTCTTTAACTCATGTTCTTAGCACTTACTTCTTTAACCACACCCTGGGATACACAGTCCTTTCGGTTCCCTGACCATGGCGGACTTTCAACTTCCCTAGGTATTTATAGGTTAATCCATCGGGGTTACTAAGAAGGTAAAGAACTAACTATTTACTAAGAGTAATTTAAAGAGAATATGAACATAGTAATATAAACATCATATTATACATTCATAATAACAGTACATAATAATACATTATATAGGGAGAAACTTACTAAGATCTAGAAAACAGATAACTACTTACATGATAATGGTCGGAATGAGGTTTCCCTTTCGGGGGTCCCCGAGTGACCTTGCAGCTACTTGCAGAAAATAAACACTCACACTCTTTGTACAACAAACACTTACACTCAAACACTTAACACTCTTTTTATTTTTGGAAAGGGAAAGGAAATATCAACCAAATTTTTAGAACTAAATTTCTTTTTTGTTGTATGCTCTGCTTACTCTTCGCTCTATCTTTCTCTTCTTGCAAATGGTCTCTATTTATAGGAGTAGATCCGGATTTGAAGTTCGAATTTCAAATGTTGAAAATAATCTTTCTTTAATGTCGGGTGCTCTTTGGGCCTCATCGTCACATGGTTTTGAAAGACTTTTTTCAAAATAATTGTCCTTTTTCTTGTCCGTTTCTGAGGAGTGGAATCTTCTTTATAGGTAGTGGAGTCTTCTTTTTAGTAGTGGCTTGTGATGTCATAGCTTACATATTCTTTTGTTGACATCATTGCTTACGTATTTCTTTAGGTATCCAGGTTGTGCAGTGCTTCGGAATTGAAACTCATTCCTGAATCATTGTCTTCATTCGAGTCGTAGTGCTGAGTAAATTGGTCTATTGATAGATTGTTCTCATCACTTCTACTCCCTGTGTCTTCTGGATCAGAATTTGTTGGTTTTGGTTCTGGGTTTGGGTTTTCTTGTATAATTTTTTCTTGTATAACCTCTTTAGTTTTTTTTTAAGTAACTTGCAAAGGGAACTTTTTATTATTTATTTTTTTTCTTTTTTGTAGGAATCCCTTTATTTTTTTGCTTGTCTCTGCCACTGTATTGAAACTTGCTAGCAGAATCCTTACACTTTTTGGCAAAGTGTCATCCATCAACGGATTTGATGAGTCTTTACCCGCTACCGTTTAAGCAGGACTAGCTGTACCTTTAGCCGATACAATAGCTCTCTCTACATTCGTTGGGGAATGTACACCCGTCTTATCCATTTTGAAATGAGATGGAGAACTCTTTTGTCCTTTTGGGTAGTCTTGTATTTGTAATGGTATGTTTTGATTAGTATTTCCAAGTAAAAACCATATTCTTTCTTGTAATGAGTGGATATGTTGTGTCATTTTTCCCTTTTCAGTCTCTAGTTTCTTGATGGTTTGGTTTAGTCTTTTGAATCCTTCAGTCATTGAAGAGAAATGATCGCAGAAAATTATCCTGTCAGTATCCCTTTGAATATTGTATTGTAGGAAAGATGATCTTGTAGTCTGTCTTAAAGCTGGGCTTATGAAATAATTTGGCCCAAGAGTCCCCCTAGCATAGATTAGTGCTTCATTTAAATCGTTAAATCCTTTGAAAAGTTGTCACGCCCCGAGCCTACACCTTGGACATGGCCGGCACTCGAAGACCATTGCTGGCCCCCAAGCGAACCCTTGGCCTGGCTTTCTTAACTCAGCGGAAACTTAACACATAGAATAACTCCATGCAATGCAAGGTTATAAAACAAACAACTGATAAAGTCTGGCCCAAAAGGCAACTCGAGACTCAAAATAGAATATTTACATATATACATAAATGAGAGACTCAAAACTAACTGACTGACTGTCTATGAAGCCTCTAAAATATTGTGAGGGATGTTGGGACAGACCCCACAACATCCTAATAAAACAAAACAAAGAGAACAAAATAACCGAGTCTTCTGAAATGCAAAGAAGCTCACCACTGACTCTGAAGTGCTCAACTGGATCAACGGCGTGCTGGATGCTGATACTGGGTACATGTGTCTGCATCATAATAAGATGCAGGCAAACTGGCATCAGTACATTGAATGTACGAGTATGCGAGATGGAAAGCTAAACCACCACTTAAACTTGAAAAGAGTAAAAAGGAACTCTTACCTTGGCTCTGTTCAACTTGTGAC